GCAGAGCGAGAGAGCCATCACACGGAGAGTGACAGGACAGTGAGAAGCGTGGCAGAGGCAGCAGCAGCAGTGCCAGGAGACCCGCTAAGAGCGGAAGGTTTCCTGAGGAGGGAGTACCTCCAGGCATTTGTTGGTGGAGCGAGAAGACCTTTCTAACACTTTCCACTGAGGGTATGAGAAAGGTCTGCCACAGCGGACAGTCTAAGAAATGAAAATAATAACTTAAAATTTGTCGAAGGGTCACGAGGGCGGGAGGGGGGAGCTGAGGAACTGATACCAAGGGCTCAAGTAGAAAGAACATGCTTTGAAATTATGCACATGTGCTCGGGACAATTGATGTGTGGATGGTTATAAGAGCTGTATGAGTCTCCGATAAAATTATTTATTTTAAAAAAAGAAAGAAAGAGGTTTGCCAATGCGCATGGCTACAAAGAGGCTGTCCTGATCCACGAGCTGTCTCTCCAGTTCGGCCTGTTCCTTCCCCAACAGACCCCCTCCCTGCTAGGGTGGTCTGGGAGCACTGTGTGTGCCAGGGGAGGAAAGGCCGATGTGGGGACTGAGGAGAAGGTCGGAGGGTGGAGGTTCAGTCTGGGCTCCACAGCCCAGGAATCAGCCTGGGATTGTCGATGCAGAGGAAGATTCTCCCCCCTCCAGGGAGTTAGAGGTCAGATGCCACCAGCCCCAGCCCTGCCACCCTGACATTTTTGCAACATTCCAAATTCAGGGCAGCTCCTACTGACTCACAGCCACGAGGCTGGCACAGCTGCACCAGACTCCGGCCTTCTTGCAAGCTGGTGTTCTCCCCAGAGCGCTTGAACAATGGTGTCTGCCCCGAGACACCCTGGCTGAAGATCAGTTAGCAAAGCGTCTGCGCCCGGTGGGCATTGTAAAGCAAGTCTGCAGCTTCTTCGCCATGGCTCCCCTGAAGAGGTGGCGGGGCCACCAAGTCCCACCACTGGAACTGGGGTCCCTGGCAGCGCCTAGCCTCTAACCAAAGGAATGGCTAGGGCACTCTGGGGACTTCCGGGGCCACTGCTGCCTGGCTCTGTTTGGGGGCCCGCCCCCAAGCCACCACATGGGAGAGACGTGTGCTCAGACCACAGGGACAGAGGTCCAAGGAGGCCCTGCTGTGAGCGTCCTCCCAGCCCTGGCCTGTGAGGGAGGGGACACTCCTGCCACCGTCACCCACAGAACCACCTACACAGGACCCCAGGCGAGCGAGACCTGCCCAGCTGGGCCGCTGCCGCCACCGGGAAAACCCAGAAACCACGAGGCCTAAGGATGACCGTTGTCTCAACCTGCCAGTTTCGGAGGTAATTTGTTATGCTGCCATAGCAACCAAAACAGTGACACTAAGAGAACAAGTGAAGCGAGCCAAGCGGCCTCTGTCGCTGTTGGAGTGGGTCACAGCCAGCACTCCGTCTCCACTCGCCAGAAGAGTCATTGGAGTGAGGGGACCTCAGGCCTCAGTGCAGCCACAAAGCAACAGGGAGGGAAGACGACTCCCCACTCCCGTCTCAGGGCCCCGGGAACGGGAACGGGAGACCCAGGTGCTTCATTCAGCCCTCCGGACAAGGGTGAGGCAAAGCCTCGGATGTGGTGCCGAGCCGGAAGGATTGATAAGCCCAGGCAAGGCTCCTGGCACCCTTGGGAATGCTGGTGCAAAAAAGGAAGAAATAGAACTCCACAGGAGACGACAAAATTACCTTTCCAAAAGAACCCACATGCAGCGGTTTGGGCGGCAGGGCCAGAGGACCATGTCTGAGTAAAGTCTCTGCAAGCTGACACCCGGTGGGCCCAGCTCTGGAAGCCCACCCCTCAGGGCCACCTCTTCTGCAGAAGGTCCCAGGCACTTCCCAGTTAAGACGAGGCCTGGCGCTCAATGAGCTGCACTAAAACAAGTCCAGCTTTGGGTGTGAGACAAAGGTATGAAACCCACCTTGCCCACGCACTAGCTGTACCTCCCTGGGCAGGTGACTTAGCCCCTCAGGGCCTGGTTTCTTACACTGAAATCAGGCATGAGTGCCCTCTCCACCCCTGCCCCACTGCCTCACGAAGCCATGAGGAAACACAAAACATTTGGGTCCAAGCCCAGGTTAGGCCCTGACCACCATCTTTAAATTAGGACCACGTGCACAGGTTCCCAAACTTATCTGGCCCACTGCCCCCTCTCCACACACAAACGAAACCAAAAAACAAGCTCCCTGTCACCGAGACAATACTGACTCACAGTAATGACTCCCCCACCCCGCAGTGGGCTTCCGAGACTGTAACTGTGGAGTAGGCAGCCCAGGATTGCTAGTGGTTTTGAACTGTCAACCATGCGGATCGCAGCCCAACGAATAACTACCACAGCCCCTGGGTTCCCACTTTCACACACACACACACACACACACACACACACACACACACACTCGCACTCGCACTCACACACAATCACTCAGCCCTGACCCCAGCGATTAAAAAAAAACACCTATTTGCACTATGGTCCTGGAACCTGGGATAAAATGTAGGCATCTGCTGTTGCAACCGCACCGGGTCGTCCTTCCACCTAGGGAGTGGTTCCACCCACTTGGGGAGACACTGAGTCGGAACAAACATTTAAAACCACAAAGTGTATGTTTCTTGCTACAGAGCAGGCGACCAGGGTCTTCACTTGCTTCCCCCAAAACACTGCTGTCCTGCAAGGTCTAAAGAGTCTGCAAGTGGTCCCCTGGGTCCTTGGTCCTCCTTCGGGTGAGCACGTGCCTCCTCCAGGGCCTGACCCCTGTGCAGAGAGGGAGGGCGGCGCTTCAGGAAGTTTGCAGGCTGGTTCCACAGATCTTCCCCTTTCCCATGGACTTCAGGAAGCCCCGCGACCAAGTGCCCATCACCCAGGAGGTGTCCCCTTGCATCCAAAGGGGGAAATGCCCACCTGCCACCACCGTGGTGTTTTCTAGACTTTCTGACATGACAACAATCCTCTTCCTTCTGGCCGTGCCCCACCCCCAACATCAAGAAGAGAAAAACATGCTGCCGCCTCCAGTCAATTCCAATTTCTGTTTCATCTTCGGACACCGCCACCCCAGGAATGTCACATTGTGACATTCACATTTTGACCCTCTGCGACATACTGGGAGAAAGACTGGACTTCCTACTTCCGGAACCACTTACAGTCTTGGAAACCCACGGGCGGGGGAGCTGCTCTGAGTCAGCATTGACTCCACGGCAGTGAGTGTTTAGGAGGACAAAGTGGAACTGTCCCCCGTGGGCTTCCAGGACTGGAATCCTCATGGAAGCCGACTGTCTCCATGCTCACTCGCTTGGGTGTTTGAAACTCTGACCTTCCCCTTAACATCCCAGCTGTTAGCCACTGTTCCAAAAGGGCTCCTCCAAGCCAACAGAAGGCAAGAAAATGGGACCCTAGCGAGAGCTGACCCCCTGACCTCTCTGCATGGGAATGGGAGGGAGTGCCACACCACTGCCACGTCACCATAAGCCAGGCACACGGCCGTGGCATCACAAAGCTCACCAGAGCCAGCCCCAGAACAGCTCTACACACACGGGGCCATGCGGGGAGAGAGAACGACCTCTCGGGCCGCGGGAGGGGCCCAGAACTGCCACTAGCTCTGCTCCAAGAAGGATAAAGGCAGGGAAGGGGGAGCGGGTAGAGGGGCTGTCTGCCCGTTGGGTTATTCCTGAGGGGGTAGGAAATAAAACGAGACCTGGAGCACAGGAAGGCCTGAGTGTATCACTGCCCACAACCCCGGCACTCACCAAACCAAATTACCAAGCCACTGCCTTCCAAGTGATTCGGACTCCCAGCCACCCTAAAGGGAAGAGCGGAATTGCCCCCCCCGTGGGTTTCTGAGACTGTGACTCTTGATGGGAGTCGAAAGCCCTGCCTTTCTCTCTCAGAGTAGCAGGAGGTTTCAAACCGCTGTCCTTGCAATTAGTAGCTCAACTCTTACATACTACGCCATCAGGGGCCCCCTTGCAGACACTGGCCAATGAACTCAATTCAAAGCAACACTGCTGTCTGGAGACCACTGCGGGCTCTTGTGCGGGATCAGAGCCCCAGCAGCACAGCCCAGGCACTCAGTTTCCCTCTACCACCACCATGTTCAGAGGCCAACTTCCCTGCCCACTGGAACCACATGGATTGTGGGGCACATTCTGCCACCAGCACAGAGCCACCGAGCCTCTCCAAGAAGTGGCTCCGTGAGCTCAGGTAAGTCAGATGCTACGAGGCTTCAAGAGGTCGATGGGGAAGTGGAATGAAAAGCTCCCAGGCGCTATGCGGAAGCCCCTGGCATTCTAAAACAGGAGGGCTCCGACTGAAAACTTAAAGAACTTGATGAGGGGAGACGTCAGAAACTCAACAGTCAAGTGATTTTGCTTTTCAAAGTTAAGTGAGCCTAGAGTCGAATCCAGTCACTGGAGGGGAGGGGGCGTGGGGGCAATACGGCACCTCCAGAATCCGATCCGCACAATGAATGACAAGCTCTCGCTCGCCTGTAGCACTTCTATTCCCACCTGCGGGGTCAAGGAGCCCACTGGGTGGAAGCCACCCTCCGTGGAACCCCTACGAGACAGTTGTGCTCAGTCCTGGAGGGTCGCTGAGGGTCGGCAGGGACTGCACGGTGGAGAGGTTGGGTTCGCCGAGGGAAGGGAACAAGAGCCCATTTGGGAATCAAGCAAAGCGCCCGGTGTACGCCGCGCGCGTGTACCGAGGGGTCGACCCGGCGGACTTACGCGTTCCGGGCTGCGCGGTCCGGGAAGGCGGCGCCGGGTCCGCGCGCTGTCCGCTCCACGCC